GGGGCTCAGGGCTGCCCCCGGGGACTGGTCTTTGGGCTCCTGGCCGCGCCGGTCCACGGTCGTGCGGCCAGAAATAACCGTGAGAACCTTTGGACGTTATCTTGTGAGCGGCATCATTATGGTTTCTTGGGTTTCGGACGCGCTGAGGATTTATTTTGCCCCAAATGACGTTTAAAAACGCCCCACAATTTTTGTAACCCAGTTTACCTTTTTTTGTTTTTTTCTTTCATTTTTTGGGTCTATTCTCAATTAACTGGGATCCTTAAATAAAAGGCCTTTGGCCATCTCCTGACCTCAGGGAGGTTGTGCGAAGAGCCCAGGTCTTCAAGCTGAGGCATCTCTGCTCCGTCCAGGAGGCACCTGGGAGCCATGGGAGGCCTTTAAGTAGAAGGACTTGGGGCTTAGAGCCCTGGGCTTTAGGAAGGAATGAGGAAGCAACCCAGAGGCTGGGAGTGCCACTCAAGAAGCTGTTGCAGTAGGAAGAGACCCAGAGTTTACTGCTCAATTTTTCTCTTATTTAGTCACCAAGTACTGTATAAAAAGTACTGTGCCAGGCACTGTTCTTAGTGTCTTATAAACAATCCATTTAATTTTTGCAACAACCTCACTTAGCACTAAATCTTACAGATGGATAAGGAGAGGTCACATGTTTTGTCACACCATTAGTAGGTGACAGGGCTAATATTCAAACCAGCCTGTGCTCCGAACCCCTGGCCTCTGTTGCCTCCCCTCTGAATACACTTGTATGTGGGCACTTTGATGGGACTCTACAGCCAAGGGAAAGCAAGCAGAACCTTGTCCCGAGCAGTGAGCTGGAGTCTGAGCCCCCTAGGAGTCAGGAGTCGGTCATACAAACAGACTGGGGGAAATGCTGCTGGATTTCTGGCAGAAAAGGACCTTAACCCATTCAATCCAAATCTCTCATTTTGTAGATAAGAGAATTGAGTTTGGGAATGCGGAGGGAGCTTCCCAAGTGCCCACAAGGAAGCTCAAGTGTCCTGGCTTCTGGTTAAGATTCCAGCCTGTTGCACCTTGTTTAGGAATGATAGTCCATGCAGCTGCCCCCCTGGTGTGCCCATTTTCCTTTAAAAAACAAAAACAAGGGGCGCCTGGGTGGCGCAGTCGGTTAAGCGTCCGACTTCAGCCAGGTCACGATCTCGCGGTCCGTGAGTTCGAGCCCCGCGTCGGGCTCTGGGCTGATGGCTCGGAGCCTGGAGCCTGCTTCCGATTCTGTGTCTCCCTCTCTCTCTGCCCCTCCCCCGTTCATGCTCTGTCTCTCTCTGTCCCAAAAATAAATAAATGTTGAAAAAAAAAGAATTAAAAAAATAAATAAATAAAAAACAAAAACAAAAAAAAAAAAAAA